TGATAAGGTAACAGTCAAAGGTTTTAGACAGACGTAAATAAAATATGGTAGATTATATATAGGATAGTTTTTTTTAAGTATATCTCATTACCGACAATAGGCATTTTTATCAGCCGCTGAACCAGGCTAGTGGTTATTGATTCTTACTGCCGAAGGGGGCGTGTTAGAATCTCGGAGAAGGCATGAATGTTAGCAAATGTATAGTGTCTGTGCATGAAAGGGAGCACTCAAAATATCCCGTGAGCCGAAAGACCTCTCGAGAGATTAGTGATAGGGAAGAGGAGTAGGGGATTCTCGGACCCGGTTCCCGCGAGGGGCTCTCCTTCAGAATTAATGGCAAAACTGTCAAAAAGTCGCATTGTCACTTCATGGTGCCCAAGCCTTCTGTCACCTGTATGGTGTGGAAGGCTCTTGTCGACGACAGAGCCAATATTGCTTCCTTACCACGATGAATTTCGTGGTCTTGTTCTGATATTAGACAAGCGAGATTAGGTGCAACAGCAACAACAACATTTTAATCTTATGAAACAGTTCTTGAAAGAAATTGTTCAAAATTTCAAAAAGCACACTCTCAGTGCTTTTGGAAAAAAAGCTACTACTGCTATTGTAAAGATTATATAAGATTATAAAGATCGTTAGGCGTTTTGGAGCGAGGAAAATGGAAAACCAACTCAACCTTTGCAGAAATTCGAGCTACAGTAAGACCCCGCTTAACGCTGTTTCGTTTAGCGCTGTTTCGGTTTAGCGCTCTTTTATTTCAACCCGGGGATTCTCCGAAATTGTGCGCAGCTCTGGTTTTCCAAATAACATATCCGAAACAGTGTAGTTGTGTTTCTTGCTTTGTGGACGCATTTTTTTCATTTGAAACATTTGTTGACATTATTGTAAGTTTAAATTGGATATATACTATAACGATTAATACAGTGACAAATATTATGATCTTTAGTTTTTATCGTGGGTGATAATAAAAAACAAGAAAAAGAAAGCAACCAGAAAAAGCATTTCACTGGAAACTCAAATGCAAGTGATTAGAAGATTAGATTCTGGTGAACGTCAATCTCAAATTAGTGCTGCATTGATTTTGGCAACTTCAACAATAAGGACAATTCTTAAGAATAAAGAAAAAATACTGTCATCGGCAACTGCAACTAGAATTACCCGTTCTAGAAATAACATTATAGAGGAAATGGAAAAACGACTGTCTATATGGATTGACGACGACGAAATTGAACGCAATATGCCATTAAGCCAATCTATCATAATGCCTTCTTGACAAAAAGGCAGAAAATTGGAAACCCAGAATAGACTGAATGATCTGACTGAGAATTTTATTTGTTTTTAAAAGTATATGCGTTTATATTGTTTTTATTTTTGTAAGAAATAAATGTTTGATTTTATTTTTATTAAAAAAACATTATTAAATTTAATGCCTAACCATTTTTTATCCGTCTTCCCCTAACCCCATTATTTACATGCTAAGATAGCCTCGCTTAGCGCTGTTTCGCATTACGCTCTACTTCGATGGAACGTATTCCCCCGCGTTAAGCGGGGTCTTACTGTATAAATCTATCACTTTGGAAGATTTTAGTTGGCCAACTTTATGACAATGCTTGTATATATACAACTATACGACACGTCTGCAGAAAAAGAAATGATTGCAGGGTTTTAGTTGAATAACTTTATTACAATGCTTATATTTATATATCTACATGTAATGATTTTAAAATGCGTAAATGAAAACAGTGGAACTTTTAACAGCTTAGAGACTGTGTAGATGACCAAGAAGGTGGGAGAGTGGAAAGCATAATGACGCAATTAAGCACAACGTATCTTGAAAAATCACAATCTTTATTTTTTTTTACGTATATCCTTTTGCAGATAAGATGTTTCCTAATTATATTTGAATACAGTTAAGTTCCAATTTTAAGTACGACGTCATCTTAAGCAGCAATATACATGAAAAGCGTCTTGCCGGCAGGAGAGCTTATGCGAAAAAGGAAAGGGTATCATAGAACTTCAGAGGAAGAAGGGTGGGAGTCGGGAAAGTTTCAGTTCAGAATTTTGGTTTACATTTGAGTGGACAAGAGGCATCTAAATTAAAACGTTACGTAAGATAGAAAAATCTGTAACCTGTGAGAAAAGATGATATTTAGGGGCACATTACCAAATTTAGAATGTTAATTATTTTGAGGTCGACAATTTTTTTTGAAACAGTTATCATATTGTGCTACATCTTACATACATACATTATCAGGAATACTACTTCTTCTAATTGCCTTTGCAAACATAAATGGAGTCCTGAGTAGGAACAGGGTGTTTACTCAAAACAATGTTCGTGTAAGTGACAGAAGATACGACACAAATGGTTTACTGCCGTTCCCGTACTTCGGGATACAAGGAGCAGTACTTATGGTCCGAAGCGTAGAAAATAAAAAATAAAACTAAATTAAAAAAGACTAAACTCAGATACTTTACAAAGACTAGTAACGCGGAGATTGGCCTTTTAAACTCTACGCATGTAGTGAGCAGAATGCGGGAAACTACAATACGTCTTCAAGGTATCAAAGAGAACTAAGTTTTGGCCTCAAAGCAAACAGGAACTGACTGAAAAGCACGCGCGAGGTAAGAAGAGCGAGAAGTCTCTCTTGGCTAAAAGTCACAACTTAAATACTTAACAGTTTCCAAGCTCAATTTGCATAACTAAAACAAACCGCGTTTGTTCTGGCCGGAAGTGGAAAATAAGAGAGGGCAGTAATGTTTTAAAATAAATTAAACGTTAATAAAACTTAAAATCCTTATAGCATATGGCGTGTCTGCAGTAAGAAAAATTATGTACTTGATTGCAAGACTTTGGTTGGACAATATTATGACAATGCTTATATCTACATACTTACATCTATGTGACATGTCTGCAGAATGTAAATAATGAAGATAAGTTTGCAAAAGGAAACTGAAATACTTAATACAACAATTCATTCACTGTTACTGACACGATAGAAAAATCCCTTACTTAAGAAATAATAGAAAATCCTCTCAAAGCTATAGAAGAAATGAAACATAGCTGACGTTTGATTTGAATAAAGACTTAGATATTAGATTTTTAAAAGAAAATAATTTAGATCTACCTTTACTACTCCTAACCAAGAAAATATTGCTCAAATGATTGAAAAGGCCAGTGATTCAGAAACATGATCAGGTAAAGAAAAGCGGCGAAATGAAACAGCCAAACTTCTCCAGCTAAATTTTGACTTAAGCAGAAACCGAAGAAAGGTTATCGACTGAAGAGAATAATGGTAAGAAAGAAACGTATTGCAGATACGTTTAGAAAGATTACATAAAATAAGAGGTTCTTTAAAGTTACTGACCAGTAAGGGCTTGGAAAATAGATAAGATAATTTAAAGGCGCTAATTAAAAAAAAACTGAAATAATTTGGACTAAAAAAAAAAAAAAAAAAAAAAAAAAAAAAAAAAATCAGATAATGATATTGCTCAGCAACTTACTAAGAAATGGGGAAGCGGATAAGGATTTTGTGGAGGAGTATTATAAAATATTTCTTTCCATATAAATGAGATAGTATTTTAAAATCAGCGTGTGTCTTTTTGATCGTGAAAGAGATAACATGAGAAGAGCATTTAGAAATAAAATATATGTTTCTTTAAAAATCACAAATGATCAGGCATCTAATATTGATATACTTTTAACAAAATTCTTAAACGAAAAAAAAAAATTCAAAATAAGAAAGAATAACTTCGACCTAAGATCAAATCCATCAGAACAAGGAGGGAGTATTGCTTCTAGTTCTGATCTCTGCTTTAAAGCGGCTGCAAAAACTAAAACTTTAGGAGAGACAGGCGCAACGGTAGGTGTTGATGTTAAGAAATTTCTTGAATCTGGAACTCTCTCAAAAATACTTAATCCCGAGTTTAAATCGGCTTTACAAAATATAGTAATAAACAGCAGGAAGGATTCTTAAAAAAATCCTGGAAACGGAGAGTATCAAAACTGGAATTTTTAACAAAATGATCGAAGAGAATTTTAAAAATGGGAAAAAAGTTTAGAAGAGTTTTTACTTCAGATTTGCTACTTCAAAGAATTGAAAAATGTGGAAACGATGTTATCAATTTGATGTATCCACAGGGCATGATGTATCTAACATTGGGTTTGTTATTATAACCATTTGAATTATATTTTTGTTGAACTTTGAACTCTTCTGGTGACTGCATGAAATTTAAAAACATTCCTGAAAATATAGTAACATATCTCAAAACACCAGGAAAAAATAATATATTGAAAAAAAAAATACATAAATAAAAAAAAATTACAAAATTCAAAATGGTGACTTTTTTGCTTTTTTACAAAATCTTTTATCTGTTAACTGCATGTTTTACAGCATGAAATACATAATTGAAAGAAATAAAAATCGGTCTGCTTTAGAAGTTTTAAGTTTTGTTAACTCAAACCCCTAAATTCGGACCATCTTTCTTGTTCGTTTGTTTTTTCTCCATTCGATGCTGTAGTTCTACGGATGAAGTGCGAAACGAAATAGAAACATTTTGTAAGTGGCTGGTGTTCTAAAGTTCGAGAAAAGTCAATGGAAAAACCTTGCAAACATTAAAGATGAAAGATTACATAATATTCAAAATATTGAACAATGGCAGAATACTTGCTTACAGCCAAGAAAGAAAATACTCGCGGATGACATTTTCACGCGTTTAAAAAAATTCTAGAAAAGTTTCGCTTCTTTTGTATATCCGAAGCAAATAAATTGATTTGAATTTTTATCACTTCAGGTAGGTATTTGAGCTGTGGGAATTGCAATATCTATCTATTTACTAAACTCTTTTAAGCTTTGAACTCCGAACAATTAACAAAAGCGATAATAAGCAGGAAAGTTTTAAGAACATGTTATCTTGCCCAAAGCATTCTTGGGCAATTTCTACCTCGCCTTCGAACATTTAGTGCAGTTTAGGGGAAAAAAGGTTACTGGAATTTCCATTACCTTGCACTGCCATGAATTTCTCAGACGATATGGACTGGAAGGAAGGGGCATCCGCAGATACCTCACATCGGTATGTTCCTTCCGCTGAGAGACTCGTGTTCTGCAGGTACACAGTGCCGTTCGAAGACCGGCTCATCTAAAGCGAAAGAAAAAAACAATAATTTAGATACATTTATAAAAATTTTCTGTTAAAGTGAGTTTATAAGGTTCCTGTCTAGAATTTACAGCTAAGTGTGCGGAACCTTGAAAACTGGTAAGCAAATAATCGCTTTAGTTCAGGAGACAGATACTGTATTTACGCGAATCTAATGCGCATCGTTTTTGGCCAAATGTAGTATTCAAAATTGGGGTGCGCATTAGATTCGATGGCGCATTAGATTCGAGTGCAAAGTTCGCCGATGACGTCAAACAAATATAAATCTTAACAATGGATTACTGTATTTCTCCGACTACATCTATCGTTACATTTATCGTTGACACATTATTGCATAGAGGATACAAACTGCAGAGTACGTAGTCACGAAATGGAGGGCAAACAGAAGAAGATGTCATATGACGCTACTTTCAAACGTAAAGTAATTCTTTATGCTGAAAAAAATGGCAATAGAAAGGCAGGGAGAGAGTTCAACGTAGCTGAGAGCAATGTTCGCTTGTGGCGGCAACAGAAATTGGCACTGTTTGCAACTAAAGCTAGTAGAAAGAAATTCACTGGCCCTCCCAAAGGAAGATCTTTGTAGATCTTTGAAGATCTTTGATTGTAAAATCCTTCAAGAAATGCTGCATTTCAAATTCATTGAATGGCAGTGACGATGACGTGCTCTGGATGACGATGACGATGATGAGGAAAGAAGAAATGGATCTGCTTCTGACGAAGAGAGCTGCGAGGATTCCAGTGATGAAAACATTAGTGAATAAAGACGTTTACTATTAAGCACTGATTGTAGAAACTGTTAGCTAGATAGAAATGTTACGATTTATTTCATGCTCATATTTTACGATAGGTACCGTATATACGGTACTAATAACAAAATACTATATACGGTGCTAATTAACAATGATTGTTTCACATGACAATAGCCCACTAATAGGTTAAATCTATGTTCTGCTACTTTATGTATAAATCCATTGTTGTATAAAATATGGTATCTAAATTTAAATAAAATTATCATACCATTAATTGATAGTTTATATACAAATCCATTGTTGTATAAAATAAGATTCAATAAATTCCTCATATCATTGATGCGCATTACATTCGCCGACAAACAATTTTTTTATTATTTAAAGTTTTAAAATGGGGATGCGCATTAGATTCGATGGCGCATTAGATTCGCATAAATACGGTACTTAAACTTGAGAAGGGTTAATTACCCTTTGTTGGTCAAAACGTTTTACAGATGGACCTTTCTCAGGACGTACAGAACATCTTCCACTTGGGTTTGAACTTGAAGAATACTAAGAAGTAAAACTTAACTAAAAAGATATAGCCGAAGCTATCAAAATTCTACAGCAGTTGGCACCTTAAATGCTAAATGAGCGGCGAAGCTATCAAGGGTCTGAAATACGGCCGAGCGTAGGAATAGCTTAGAGAGAGTGTAGCGAAATGGCGAACGCGCGTTAGTCAGAATCTCTGGCTCTCTAACGAAGTCAGTCGAACTTCGACTTTAAGTACTGCTCTTCTTTCATTTGCATTTAACCGCGATTCTAAAATCACACTCTGGCAGGAAATTTGTAAACTGAATAAGAAGCGACAGGAAAGTAGCTTTAATTTAACTAAAAAATAACTGTTAACAACTTAGGATAAACCTTAAAAAGTTAATAGTAACTTATGAACTATATTATGAATTTATAAAATAAGTTTGTAGGGTTTATATTTATTTTAAGATTTAACATTTATTTTAAGCTATCTTTCCTGTCAAGCCTTTACTTTCCCCTAGAATTGCCAATGCCAGAGTATGTAAATTGTAGTAGAACGCGCAGTGTATTCAAATTTTAGCAGAAGTACGTTGAGTTTAAATAGAAGGGAAACGAGTTTGTAAGTGTGCTTCTTGAATCGCGAACGTGAAGGTTGCTAGGTAGAAATTTAAGAACCGCGCGTTTCGGCCTGTGTGCCTATCTCGGCAGTTCGCTGAATTTTTCAACTGCTTAATCAGTAAGCTGGCTGAATCTCAGCTGTAGTTTAGAACGCGGTTAAGTTAGTTTCAGCCTCCTAGGTAGTGATCTAGTTATTTATTCATCCTGTCATTAAATTTTAGTTTCACATTTATGTTTTGTAAACCACCGGGTCGGCGTAGTTAGTGAGCGTCAAGTGAACGCAGCTGTTATTTCTAAAGTGGAATAAAAAGGGCTTTAAAACCCTTCTTACGTGTTTGTGTAACTTTACAGTTCATAGCAGTCACTACCACAGTGCCTGACAAGTTGGGGCCATCACAACACTACAAGTTAAACTTATGGAATTATCGGATACCATTATAAGTCTCGTATTAAGCAATATTTGCATTTTTCAAATGCGTTTTGCGATTTTTATATAGGGTTAACTTCAAAGAAACGGACAGTTTTAAAGTTTTATAAAAAAACTAGTTTTAATAGCATTGCTGAAATACTTGTATGGTTAGCCATATTATTCCGTTGGCATCAAAAGCGCTCACGTGATGCTGTCATCATGAATAAAGGAGGTCATAAACTTACACTTGCTGTATAAAACGGTAATACACGCTGTAAGATTCTAACCTGTGTACTTTTAAATTACAGTTAAAGTTGAAGATTCTTAAGAACTGATAAGCGAATAATCGCTTGAGTTCGTGACGCAGAGAACAAAACGTACGAAGTGTGAAATTACCCTTTATTATTCCAATAAAGTTTAACAGAACTCCTTCTGGAAGTTTTACAATAAAGTCTCCATTCGAGCTTAGGAAACTAAGAACTAAAACGTAATTAATCTTAACTAAAAAGATATAGCCGAAGCTATTAAGATTCTAACAGAGTTGGTCCTTAACGCTAAATAACGGCGAAGCTATCAAGGGCCTAAAGTACGGCCGAGCGTAATAATAGCTTAAGGGAGAGTAGCCTAAAAAGGCGGCCGCGTGCTAGTCAGAATCACTGGTTCTCTCTCACGAAGTCAGTAGAACTATAGAGTTACATACTTCTCCTCATTTGCATTCAAACGCGATTCAAAAAATACGTTCTTGCCGCCAGTTGTAAGCTTGAAATTAAGAAAACGCAGGACAGTATCTTTCACTCAAAATTTAACTGTTAGATAAATTAACATACTCCTTACAACGTTTTCTGATAAAAACAAACACTTGAGCGCCCAACTGGGATAGTGGTTAGTGACACTGACTGTTGTACCGAAGGGCCCGGGTTTGAATCCCGGAGAAGGCATTGGTGTTTGCAAATGCATAAAGTCTGTGCTACATGAGGGCACTCTAAATATGCGGCCAACTGAAAGTCCTCTCGAGAGTATTGTAGTAGAAGAGGGGTGGGAGGTCTCCCCAGGGTGCTATATCTCAATATTTCGAGGCAGAGATGAGCTTTAAAGGAGGGTTGTCACGTATATGTTGCTCAAGACTCTTGCTAACCACAGGTGCATTGGACTCCTTGCCACACTGACTGTCTTGGGCTTGTGTTGACCACTGTCGGAGGGAACGGGTCTAGTCGCCGCTGACGTTTCGCCGTCAAGACATATTTTTCTTTACACGACTGTATTATATCTCGACGCATCATTTTCAGTTGATTTAAACTAATATCTCTCTTCAGTTTAATAATTTAATTCGATATGATAAACGTTTTATATAAAATAATGTATGAAATATTTTTGTGTACAGTTTTATACAAATACACCATCACACACGACATATTAACTTTAAGAGAATAAGCTGCTGACAAGATTCCTGAGTAATTCCGTTTTACAGTCATGTTTCATAAAAATGTGAATTTACTGTTTGTATGAGTGATTTCTCCGAACTAGACGATTAAAATTTCAAGACATTTTGACGAATCATGTAAATATTGTACACGCGTAATTTAAAAAAATCTTCTTTTCCGTACAAGGAAGTCACAACATGACTTCCTTGTACGGAATATTATATTATACGCATTTTTCTTGCATTTCATTTAAACATATTGGATTGACAGGTGACAGGTGACGGAGGACGGGGACGCCTGGTGTTTAACGGAGGTAAACAGGCATATGTCCCACGCCCTCCCCTATATAGATACAAGAACTCCCTGGGGTCCCACAAGGGCGCACCTGGAGTTACTGAGCCTTCATGAAAAAGTTTACATGGCCATACAAGGGCTATTCCAGTTTGACATTGGTTCTGTACAGATTCTTATGTTAATGGTTGACCTGGGTGTTCATAGGCCATAATGCATACATGAAACATAACATTACATACATGATATGACATGACATTAAACTTATACATAATACTTGCATGAATTAGTACATACATACTTACACTTCACATGACATTAGACTACACATACATAATGCATGACATTAATCTACACTTATTAGAGTTATAACCTGACTGTATACTACGTTAAGCTAATGGTATTGCGAACTTGCTAAGTTACTTTATAACTGGATTACTTATAGTTTACATTATTGCTATTACTTCTTAAATGACATTATGATATATAACAAGATAGGCACACATACTTTGCCTTATAATCATATATGCGTTACTTAAAATAATACACATGGGGCACGCGCTAATGACTACATTACCGATTACGTTATGTTAAAAGTACACATAGTATGACGTATTACACTCATTGATTAAATTACTTACATTACACTATTACTTACATTACTTACATTACACAGTTACTTATACACTTACATATTTACAATTTTAGACATAACACCTGCTAAGTTACAATAGAGACATAGAATTATTGCGCTGTGTATGTTATTATTCCTATGATGGTTGGCAGACATCCTGCCCTAGAGCGCTCAGCTGCTGTATAATTTTACATATATTTCTTATCGCAGGTGCGTGTTTGATGATGAACCTCTTGTAAGGTACTATATCCGTAGTGGGATATGGTAGGTGATGGCTCGTCGTGAGGCTACAGTTGAACACGTAGTGGTCGGGGGAGCCAATTTCCCCACACACACACGCTTCTGTC